TCTCAAAGACAACCAAACACCTTGAGAGTGAGAATCACTGGGCCTGCAGGCTTGGGACCAGAATCCCAGGGGACATCATACTCAATTGGCACAACATAAAAATCTTGTTCTACATCCTACTTTGGTGAGTAGCGACTGGGGTCTTAGAAGCTTTCAAGCAGCCATCTAAGATGCAACTATTGCTCTCCTTTTGTCTGGAGCAAAGATGAATGAAGAAAATCAACATTATCTGGAAACAATGAGTCCAAAGATAAGATGGATCACAATGACCTCACCTTTCATGACAACAAGACCAGAAGAACTAAATGGTGCCCAGCTACCAATGCCAACCACTTGAAAAGGGATCAAAAGTGGAGATCCTGGATAGAGTGGGAGGTAAAATGTGGAACAAAATTCAAAAACACAAAAATGACCAGAATTACTGGTCAGAAAGAGACTGGTGGAATCCCCAAGACTATGGCCCTGGGTTACCCTTCGGGCCTAGAAATGGACTCACTTCCATGGGTTAGCTCTCAGCTCAACAACAGAAAAACCTACATACAGAACACCTATCCCAGGGTGATGCACCCACCTATTCTAGGGAAATGCACCCCTTAGATCAATCAGCCATGAGACATCAGAGGGGCAGCATTCATATAGAGGGGATGCTGGGCAGACAGGAATGTATAGGGCACAAGGAGGAGGTAATCACAGGGAGGAGAGGCAAGGAGTATTTTTTATGGTTGGGGAGGGTGATCGGGGAGTGAAATCAAACGGGCATGAACTTTTGAATGTAAAACAAATCTTCTTTGTAAATTTGCCCCCCAAGCACAATATAAATGAATAAATAAATAAAACAAAGTGCCAAGCTCTAGGGACTAGGTGAAGGCCCCTCAACTTTGGGCTTCAGCTCAGCCTCTTGCTCCCAGCCCACTGAAGCCAGAAGCTTCTCTTAACTCAGGCAGCTACTGGCTGCTGGAGCTGACAAACCCATGGTCAACAAGTAAAATGGCACAGTCCCAAGATTATCAAACAACACAGCAAGCCTCTAGTTCAAGTCCAGAGATAGTCCCAAGATGGGAAGACAATATGGCAGGCCAGTCACTGATGACTCAGCCAAATACTGGAAGCAGACCATATCCCTAAGGCAGCTCCTCAGCTACTCACTGCAGATTCCACCATGGAGTTGATTACCAGTCTCATCATGGGGAAGAACTACATCCAGCTGCCCAGCCACTCAAAACCAGGCCCAGCCAAGTTGACATACAACTTAACTACTACAGATGCCATCAAGTTGGTTCTGAAACACTGCCCAGTCCTGTGTTGTCCTTACAATCACTGCTATGTTTGAACCCACTGTTGCAACCACTGTATCAATCCATATTGCTGAGAGTCTTCCTCTTTTTGTTGACCTTCTACTTTACCAAGCATGACGTCCTTCTCCAGGGATGGGTCCCTCCTGTTAACATGTCCAAAGTACATGAGACGAAATCTCACCATGCTTGCTTCTAAGGAGCATTCTAACTGTACTTCTTCCAAGATTTGTTGAACAAGAATTGTTCATTCTTCTGGCAGTCCATGGTATTTTCAGTATTCTTTGTCAACACCACAATTCAAAGGCAGTAACATTGACTACATTCTTCATGCTGTGTGACCATTCTTCTATCTATGCTGCTGTGTGACCATTCTTCTATCTTCTTTATTCATTGCCCAGCATTCACATGCATATGAGGCTGTTGAAAATACCAGGCTTGGGTCAGCCACACCTTAGTCTTCAAAGTGACATCTTTGCCCTTTAGTACTTTGTTGTTGTTGTTATGTGCCCTCGAGTTGGACCCAATTCATAGTGACCCCTCCTTGGGTTTCCTAGGCAGTATCACTACGGAAGTAGATCGCCCAATCTTCCTTCCAAGACATGGCTGGTGGGTTTGAACCACCAGCCTTCTGGTTAGCAGTCAAGTGCCTTAGGCACTATGCTACCAGAACTTCCCTTTAGTACTTTAGAGAGGTCTTTTGCAGCAGATTTGCCCAGTGAGATATGTGTCATCTGATCTCTTGACTGCTGCTTCCGTGAGGGTTGATTGTGACTCCACATAAAATGAAATTCTTGACAACTTCAGTATTTTCTATATGTATCCAAACAATTTAACCAAACAGTAGTTCAGTTTAATTAGTAAAGAATGTCTGCCTTGAATGTTGTGCTCTTTTTAAGATACATCTATATGGGCTCAATTTGACAACAGCAACTCAAAAGGTCAGATAGGAAACTTACGGGGCAGTGAGTTTATGTTAGTGAGGGAACAACAGCTCAGAAAAGGAGGGGAAGAATGTAGTCCATGTCACTGAATTACACATGTAGAAATTGTTTTATGTTCTGCTATGTATTCTCAATAACTCTCTTGCGCTCTTGCTCTCTCTCTACCTCTCTCTCTATATATATATGTATATATATATACACATAGTTATATGGTTTATATAGTTTTGTATATATATATATGTAATCTATCTTAAAGACATAATCCCTAACCTGTGGTAGGGTAGGAGAAGCTTTAAGCACTTAAACACTGACATGCCCTGGAGTTTTATATATAATAAATATTGGACCAAATCCACCTACTCAACAATAGAATAAATACTAGGTAATTGATGATACATACCTGTAATTATGTAGTATGCAGTCATTAAATGTTATTGCTAAAAGCACATGGGGGCAGCATCCTTTGACCTTTTCTTACTTCACAAAAAAAAGAATAGAACTTTCCAAGGGGGAGAGAAAATCACCATCAGCAGCCCAAACCTGACTCCCTTGAGGTGATAGTCAGACAGGCTGCCACCCTCCACCCTTTTTACCAACTGTGATACCAGTCGTCCCTCCCACAGCACTCTCCTTCTCTGCTGGTTTCAATAATTCGATGCAATGGCCACACAGAAATCATAACAATACCCACAATTATGGAGTTTGTTAGGGAAATAACAGATTACAATGCAGGAATGCTCAGGATACAATTCTTCAATCAGGACAGCTGCCTCTCTTTGATCCTTGACCTTGCAGCCTAGGCTCTGCCCTCCTAGGCTCTGCCCTCCTCTGGCAAGTGATACAAAGCTCTTTTAGCTCTGCCAATAGGTGCGCTCCACTACGCCTGCCCAAAGGCACTCAGCTTTCTTACTCCATGGGCTAGCAAGCCAGCCACTCTATCTCATGCCAGTCTCCTGTTTCTGCTGACTCTCTGCCCACTCTCTGCCATCCTTTCAGCTCTGGTCCAAGGACGTACTCCTACCTCCAGCTCTTGATGGGCAGTGAGATCCCCCTTTTGCCTCTGGAAGGGCTCATTTAAGCCTAACAGAATGACAAAACTGACCAATCCCAACATTAGGGTTCAATATACCTAACTTTCATGGTCCCACACCCACAAGCGTACCTTATTTTCATTACTAACAAGCTATCCAATCCCCCTGGTGGGCCACAAGCACTTTACATTTGTATAGTTCCACCCAGTCATCTGGAGGGAGTCACAAAGACTATGACTAGAAGAGCCATACCAAGTAATTCACTGCACCACAGTTATTATCACAAAAAGTTTTCAGAAATGTGTATGTTGAAGAGCAAAAGTAATTTATTTGTATATTTATCATGGTCACATATAAATTTTTAAAAGTTTGCAATTTGCATCTTTGAAAAGTTAAACGATGAAAAGAGGAACAATTCAAAATAGTACATTCATCATGTTCATATCTAAGTGTAAAAACAGAATACATAGAAACACAAAAAGAAAATGGACTGACACATGCTAATCTCTGGATAAGACAATGGGTGATTCACTACTTTTTTCTACAATAAAAATGAGGCTTCAATTTATCATTAGTGGTGTATAACAGTTTAATTGGCAGCATAGCCTTTTAACAGTTTAATTGGCAGCATAGCCTTTTCTTAGTGGTATAAAAAAACAATGCATCATGCAATGATAGAATACTCAACTTGCAATAAAAAACATTGTGTAGCACCACCTCTGTCACTAGAAGTATGACTTGGGGCAAATCACTGAACCTCTTTGTGCTTCAGTTTCCCTATCAGTAAAACAGAAGTAAGACAGTCCCCTCACCATAGCCTTGTTTGGAGGATTGAATGAGTTAATATATGCAAAGCACTTAGAACACTGCAGCTCTCTAGTGGTGTAGTGATTAAGGCATTTGGCTGCTAACCAAAAGGTTCATGGTTCAAACCCACAAGTTGCTCTGCAGAAGAAAGATGAGGCAGTCTGCTTCTGGAAAGATTTACAGCTTTGGAAACCCAATGGGGGTCACTCTAAGTCATAATCGACTCAATGACAGTGAATTTGGTTTTGGTAGAATACTGCCTGGCATGTGATAAAGTATAATAATCCTTATTTTAAAGTTGAGAAACATGCTCAGAAAGGTTAAGTAACTTATCCTCAAGTAACTTATTCAAAACTCATCCCATAGGAGTGTGCATCTCAGCTAAGATTCAAACCCAAATGTATCTATTCTATTACACCTCCTAACCTTCCAGGAGAAGGTAAAGTAGATAAACTTATGCTCCCTGACTTAAGCAAACTTAAGAATCTTACATTGTCCTTCTCCCACATTAGACAGAAGTCTGAAAAACAAAAGTTGAAAAAAGAACAACAAAAAGGAAGACCACAGACTTTGCTGACACTGGTAAATATTTGACAATTGTTAGATGATAAATTAATTAATTAATCCAGTCATTTAATTTACCAGTGGGGGTAGGAAAAATTTTTACTTTTTGCCATATGACTTGACAAAAGGTTTCCTTCCTTCTTCTCATTCTTTCACTTTTAAGAGTGTAGTTTTGGTAACTTGCAAAGTTAGAAGGAAAGAATTGGCCCACAGCTGCCAATGGAAAGCAGGAGGGTGAAGCCACAATGAAGCCAGCTGGAGCCCTTATCTGCAAGTGCTCAGTCCGCTTCAGTTGACTGCCATAAGCCCGCATGGAAGCAAAGCTGACTGAGCCAAGGTAGACATGCAAAGTCATAACTCACCATTTTGTCTTCAAATCCTCCCGTTATGCCAAGGCAAAAGTCTTCCCCATATCTAAGGACTTGACCGATGGCATTTCTGTCTACACTGTCAGTGGAGAATAAATGTAATATAAACTCATTATTAGAATCATTCTGCACTTTACTTTTTGTGTTTGCAATTTTGTTCATGATAAGTTTTATTGCTTATATATATTCACATACCATAATGGAACTAAATATCTAAGCAAAAGGGTTTTTGTTTTGGCCTTGAAATCCACCCAGGATTCTATTCCCTGCCTCCCTCCACACCCAAAGCACAGAATATCCATCCCCATTTTGGAAGGCTTTGGCCAGGGTGAACTGAGCACTACCCAACATAAAGGAATTCCAATCATGTGCATTTGAGATCTTTAGAGAAAATCAAAAGAAGCCTGGTGGCACAATGCTTAAGCATTGGGCTGCTAACCAAAAAGTTGGCAGTTCAAACCCACCAGCCACTCCACAAGAGAAAGGACCTGGAAATCCATTCCTGTAAAGATTACAGGCTAAAAAACTCTTTGAGGCAGTTCTACTCTGTCATATTGAGTTGCTATGATTTGGAATCAACTCAAGGGCACTGAACAATAGCAACAATAGAGAAAAACAAACATTTGTAGACATTTAAGACAATCTTCTAATTATCCAGGAAACAGAAGTTGTGATTAATTTTTTATTTGTCTTACCATAAATTATCTGTATTCAAAAGAAATTGAAATTGAAGAAGCTTCTTCAACACTTAAAAAACTGGCTCTACAAACATTGTAATGTAAACATTGCTATCATAAACTTATAAACTGGTAAACAAAGTAAAAGCAGTAGTTTTCCATTGTACTGGTACTTATGTACCTATTTGTTCTCTAAGGATTTAATTATTCATTTTCAAAATTACCTCGAGTCTCTTTCTTTAAAAATGACAATTAATTTTAAGAGTAAATCCCTTGCATTAAAATACTTTTTGCTGTAAAAATAACACAGCAACATTAAAACCAGTGAAAGTATTCAAATGACCTTAAAGCATCCCGAGATGTTTTGAAGACAAGCTACATTAGTTCCAGGCAGAATATAAAGTTAATTCCCTGGATCCAATACCTATGAGTCAAGCATTTTGAATTAAACACAAATTGCTTTTTATCACACAGTCTAAAGAAAAGGTATTGTAAATACCCCTTGATAATATTTCTGAAGGTAAGAAAACAAGATGGGAATCATAGAAAATGTCTGTTTGACCTTCACCTTGGATTGGCATTGCTCCAATCCCAGGGTATCTTTCATAGAAATTGATATTGATGATGAAAACAAGTTGAAAATTAAAATGTCTCTACCTCAAAATCATGAAGGTGTTTCTGCCAACCGGGTTCTTGGTTTGAGCTGCACTCAGGCCACAGGGTATCTCCAGTTCATCACTCAGGTGGGCTTTAATTTCATCTGGAGTCATACACAGGCTCAGGTCACCAGCCAAAAACAACTCAGCATCCAGCTCAGGATGGTCAGGATTCACAAGCAGCACTTTGTCACCATAGTGAATATATCCATCTTCAGACACGGAAAGCTGCATCTGCAATTTTAATAGCAATTTTTTTCAAATAAGCCATGTAAGCCCTCAACTGCCAGTGGTGAGCCTCACTCAGGTATAGCTTTTTTTCCTTCTCACACTGGGATCCATTTTCATAAGAGATTTACTTGGATTGCCACAAATTCTTGGTTTCCTTTTTTTTTCTTCCTGCCATTGCCCCTTCCCACCTTGCCAAGGTAATCAGTAAATCAGTTGCTGTTGATTCCAACTCATGGCGACCATGTGTGCATCACACTACAACTGTGCTCCATAGGGCTTTCAATGGCTGATTTTGGGGGGAGTAGAGAGATCCTCAGGCCTTTCTTCCCAGGGGCCTCAAACTACCAATCTGCCAGCTAGCCTCCATTAGTACCACCCAGGGACTCGTTGGCAAGGCAGAGTAAAGCCCCTAATGCTCTCAAATGAAGTCAAATGAAGTTTTTGTAAATCATGAGTTCATTGGTTATGAGTTCATTTATTCAACATTCATTAAGTATTTTTGAGCAGCAACTATGTGGCATTTTATTTACATATTAATTGATTAACTAATTTGAAAAATACATGTAAACATAAGTAATAGCCAAATCCTCTTAAGTTTCTAAAATCTCAAGGAATTTTAAATGTTTGTGGCTTTCTGATTTTTAAAAACTGTTCTTTTCCAAATGTTCACCCATTTATGGAATTTTTGCTCACTTAACATATTCACACTTAATTTTTCAGAAGTTTGAAACCAATGTTTGGATTTAAAATTACCTGTTTCAAAAGAATCCCTTTTAGTCTTCTGTTTCTCTGTATAAGAAGTTCCCCCTTATCTCTCTTCTCTAAGAAGTCTTTCATGAGCTCCTAGTTAAAGAGAAAATGAATAAAATCCAAAAGGTCAATAACAAACTCACTGCCGTCAAGTTGGATCCAACTCATAGCAACCCCTCCTTGGGTTTCTGAGGTGGTATCACTACAGAAGTAGATTGCCCAACCTTCCTTCTGAGGAGTGGCTGGTGGGTTGAATAATACAGGTGATGGTGGGTAGGCTTAGGTCAGAAGCACCTCAAGTTCAAAAAGCAAAATTTGAGAACATAAAAAAAAAAAATGTGAGCATAATGGGAATGGCTATACACACACACACACACACACACACACAGAGCATTATTTTAATGTTTGTATTTCATTGTAGAATGCTTGGGGAAAGGCAAGAAAGAGAAAGAGAACAGAACCTGTAATCATTCCAGCAGAAGCAATCATGAGGAAGATCTGGAGAGCATCTGTCAGACATTGAGGTCCTCCCTAGTTGTGTGATGATTGACACTGGAAAGTCCACCCACCCAACTAGACAGAAACATGGGTGTAGCTTGACCCAGTGCCTTGTCAAGATAAGGCAATGAGTACAATGCCATCAGGAGGAAGCAGTTGTGAGGTGGGGGTGTTTGTAGTTAGAAAGTCTTTTCAACTGACTGCCATCTCTGAGACTGTTTAAGACTCCAAGGAACAGGAAGAACTCAGTAGAGCTCTAGATAAGGGGAGGTCCCTGGGTTGTCCAAATATTTGTGCTTGACTGCTAACCCACAAGGAACTCACTCAGTGGTACTACAGAAGAAAGTCCTGCTGATATGGTTCTGTTATGATTCAACAAAACAAACAGCCATCCAATCAATTCTGACTCATAACGACAACCACTGGGTTTCCAAGGCAGTCAATGGTTACTGAAGTAGATTTGCCCCTTTTGCCTTCCACAGAGCAGCTGGGGGTTTGAATCACCAACCTTCTGGTTAGCACTCAAATGCCTTAGACACTGTGCCACTACAGCTCCTTTCCGTTAAGATTATAGCCAAGAAAATCTATAGCAGTTCTACTCTGTAACACATGGGGTCGCCATGAGTCAGAATCAACTGGGCCAACAACTAAAAACCACAGACTAAGGGGGAGGCATGAGTTTGAGAATGAAGGCTCAGAATCTGGGATTCCAAGGAAGTAAGGGAACAGAGTGTTATAATGCTCAGAGTAGAAGGCCGTGAGAAGTGGATTTGCAGAACAGTGGGTGGGATTCCTTGGGAATTCAGAGAGGGATCGGGATTTAGAGGTACTCCGTGTATTGCCAGTAGGAAAGGCGGTTTGGGATGCTCAAAGTGCGAAGTTGTAGTCAAAGCAGGGTTTTGGGAGTCCCTGAGCTCCCAGGGACCAAAGGTCTAGAAGCACCGGCCAGACTCGGCAGTCTGCGCCCGGCCACGACCCTCTGTACCTCCTCAAGGTAGACGTCTTCATTCCAGTTACCCATCCGGACTCGTGGACCGTACAAGTTCTGTGCCATAGTGCCCTGCTCTCCTGCAAACAGGCCTTCCTGCGACACAGTTAGAGTCAGCGTTACTGTCGCTATGACGACCCGACCCCGCGCGATTGGTCAAGATCTAGAGCTACTGGCCAATGAGTGACAACACCTGGAATGTGCTAGGGCTGCTCAGGCCTGAGAAGTCCGCGCCCACTTTAACTCCAAAGCTTACATTTTGCTGAGTGTAATTGCAAAGCACCAAACCAAAACCAAACCCCTGCCGTTGAGTCGATTCCGACTCAAAGCGACTCCCATTGGGTTTCCGAGGTGGTAAATCTTTACCGAAGTAGATTGCCCAGTCTTGCTTCCGCAGAGTGGTACCAACCTTCTGGCTAGCAGTCAGGTGTCTTAGGCACTGATTAGGGATTAGGGTTGTCAGACCTCATTGTACTAAGTGCTTCCT